AGAACTTGGCCAGGAGCCTCGGAGAGTCACGAACCAATGAAGCGAACTAACAGTCTCCTGCAAACTCCACTCCCCTTTCGCTCCTCTTTTATTCCCTCTGGGAGGGGCCATTCACCGTCCACCTGTGGCCTTCCTCCCTTACTCGACCCCTGTTCTTTAGCTGTCCCCTTCGCCTGGCAACTCTGCTCACGCACACACTGGGAACAGGCTCCAGCTGTTCCTCTGCCTCACTGATGTCTGACTCCGAAGGCAGCTGAGAACTGTCGGACGGCTCTGGCCGTGTTTGTTTATTTGTTTGTTTATTTATTTATTTATTTCTACGATTTATAGGCCGCCCAATCCCGGAGGACTCCGGGCGGCTTACAACGAAGAAAAAAAAAGTAATAAAAAAATGAAAAGTAAAAAACAGGTTGAAATCAACACAGAGACATTCGTTACGATCGGGGCTGGACCTCAACAATGAGGTCAACAGCCCCAGGCCTGCCGGAACAGCCAGGTTTTAACAGTGTTGTGGGAATTAGTTGTTTAGCAGAGTGATGGCATTCAGGAAAAAAACAAACCCTGTCCTTGTGTCTCCTCGTTCTGGTGTGCAATCCTCTACAACGTTGTTAATACGTTAGACATGAAGTTAGAGCCCTTAATGATTTGTGATGACACCTCAGTCGCTTCCAGCCTGTATCCCCTCCCTCCCTCCCTCCCTCCCTCCCTCCCAGGGGTTTGAGTTACTGGTATCCCCTTATGGCCTGGCTGTCACTAATTTTTGGTGCCCCAATGAATCAAGACCTTTCCTGCTTGAACTTCTTCTGCATGCCAGCAATTGTAATCCTCCGCTGAGGTCTTTACGACCTCCTCCCCCTCCCCAAAAAGGTCACCTGAGGCTTATGGTTCTCTCCCCCCCCCCCTTTTCCCCGATGAGGGGAAGCCGGTTACTTTCCGAGGCAAGGAGAAAGGCCAGCCTTCGTGCAAACGGAGGAAAATAGCAGGTGAATTTATTGAATAGGTTTTATTTTTTTAAGACGGGGACGCGGTGGTTCAGGGGCTAAGACGCTGAGCTTCTCGATCAGCAGTTCGGCGGTTCGAATCCCTAGTGCCACATTACAGAGTGAGCTCCCGTGACTGATTTGATTTTTAATCAATTACTCTTGCAAAGTTAGGGATGTGGTGGCTCCGGGGCTAAGATGCTGAGTTTGTCGATCAGAAAGGTCGGCAGGTTGGTGGTTCGAATCCCTAGCGCCGTGTAACGGAGTGAGCTCCCGTGACTCGTCCCAGCTTCTGCCAACCTAGCAGTTCAAAAGCAGGTAAAAAATGCAAGTAGAAAAACAAGAACCACCTTTGGTGGGAAGGGAACAGCGTTCCGTGCACCATCGGCGTTGAGTCATGCCGGCCACATGAGCACGGAGACGTCTTCGGACAGCGCTGGCTCTTCGGCTTTGAAAAGGAGATGAGCACCGCCCCCTAGAGTCGGGAACGACTGGCACAGATGTGCGAGGGGGGCAATCTTTACCTTTTTTTTTTTTTTAAAAGAGGGAAACTGGGAAAGATATTCCAGGGCTGAAGTGGCTTGCAGAAGGGATGGCATCGTTCAAAGAACAATCCAGGCCAGGAGGAGACAAGCCGCCTCCTGCAGCTGCTCTCAAGCTGTAAAAATTAGGGAATCCCGTAGGAGAGAGAAGGAGGGATGGTTCAGTTAGGTAAACAGCTGTGGGGGGGGGATAATTTTAGCTCCCTTTCATGGTACTCTTTGCAGTTGAACAGCAGTTCCAGAGAGCTGGGATTCCTGGGGAGGCTGGATACTTGTCTTCTAGTAGGTGGGCCATTTATTTAACAGATCTTTATCCTGCCTTTATAAGTAACTTTTATTTTGTAAAAAGGAGATTTTTCTTCCTGGCTCTGCCAGTTGAAAAGTCAAACACTTGGGGCTTGGAGTCAGGCACATGGGTGTTGTGTCCGATCCATCACGACCCCATGGGCAACGTTCCTCCAGGTCTTCCTGTCCTCTGGAGTCCATTGAAGCTCACGCCGGCTGCTTCAGTGACTCCATCCAGGCACCTCCTTCTCTGCCGTCCCCTTCTT